CAGATCAGAACCTACGGGGATGTGGGCAGAATCTAAAGGAGCCTTAAAAAAGATTTTTATACACCTTCTGATTCAAAAACCATGTAGAACATCTGGAACTGGACAAATGACTGCACTTTTCCCTTTCACATTTTATACAGACTTTTCTAGTCAAAATGATTACCACGTGCATCCTTGATTGGTTTAAATTTTTAAAATCAGTTTCCTGCTTAGAAATTGGATTCTTTGCCATGGCTGAGGAAGGAAGGTGAGAAGTGGCTAGCATCCTTTCTCCTACCCTAGACTCTTACAGTCCTCCCACCAGCCCCACAGAGCCAACCCCAAGTGCCGTCACTGATTCACTCCATCTCAGCCATGGCTCTGGTCAGAAGAAAGAAACCCACAGGTTTTCATGACCAAAAATGACTGACCACCTAATGTGCAAGCATTAGAACCCTCTTCTGTGAATTAGAAGTAAAGAATCATAATGCTGCAATTCATAGCAGTGATTAAAAGAGACACAACATTGATTCAAAACAATTTTGTAAATGCTAATAGGAGGGGAGAAAGTGAAGGAAGGGAGTACAGAGAAGTATTATCAGCTGAATAGATGGGACCGAAGCAAGCATATTGGACATCTAAAAACAAGTGTCGTACAAACACAGTGCAGTCCTAAAAGCTGAGAACAAGGACTCTGGTGCTAGAGTGGCCAGGTTCAAATCACAGCTTGTCTGCCACTCACTGAGGAACCCTGACTTTTACTTCTCTGTGCCCAAGTGCTCTCAGCTCTGTGGTGGCACAAAAGTTAATAACTACCTCTGAAGGAGGTTGTGAGGACTAAGGAAGTTGGCAGATGTACGTGGACTGAGTAGGTTAATAGATATGAAGTGCTCGGGATGATACTGCTACACTCCAGATATGCAATGAATAGGTAAGTGTTTTGTGAATCAAGATGATCCAAAAACAACTGCATTGTCTAAACAGTTTATCAGCCTCCAAGAAGTTATTCTGAAAGGATAACAATAAGAAATCTCTTTATGTCTTAGCTTGACTAAAGAGTCACATTCCCAGTAACCCTTTAGTTTCTCTATGATGACCCTCCTATACTTCTCCCCTTAAAATTGGGTGGAGAAATTATCAATAATAAATGGAATGACAGTCTCAAACTCCTGCTCTTGCATTTCCAAGTTCCTGCCTATAACTGGTTACAAGCATAGACCTCAGTTATTTATTACCATAAACCCTCTATTGTATATCCGCCACGTATACCTACTACTGTTAGTTATGTGTATGCTCCAGTTATTGAAAAAAAGTCACAAAGAAATGTTAAAATAATTGTATTATCTATATACAATTATTAGATTTGAAAATATATGCTGTCTGAATTATTTTTAACATCCTTTGGAAAACAATATAAATATATCTAAATATATAAACTATAAAAATTCACAAAGACGACTTTTCTAAGATCTATGAAAAGTAGCAGTGCACACTTCAGCAACCCCCTTAACCAATGAGAATGTGTCTTTCCTGCAGAAGAGGAAATCTGATGATTACACAAAACCTTGGTGAAAATTATTTTTTCTGGAGCAAGGTTTCTAACCTTTCAATGCTCTTTATTAAGACAGTCACTTTACATATCACCTCAGAAATAAGACATTCACTAGAAAACCATTATTTGATTCCTCCAATTCTTATTTTTAAGATTTCTAGTACTGAGTTAATCTGTTAATTTGTGGTCCAAAGGCAAATTTCAGGAAATTATGACTAGCATTAATGATATTTTCAGAATTCTAACCAAATTATTAAATTTATGGCAAGATTCCCCATTGTGTAATATTCAATGATTGTATCTCCATATTTCTTAATTCTAATGCAATACCATCATGGCTTAGAGTGACATTAATTTGTATGACACTACTAATGGTTATATTAAATGAACAGAAAAACATAAAGAATCATTTTTAACCTACTGATCCAAATACATAGAAACACATTATAAAGCATCGATGGGTGGGTTTTGTTGGCAACAGATCAGAAGAGGAGACTGCTGGGTACCTCCTGGGCATGGCACAGTTAATTCCCTTACCAGAGTTGCTTCTGTTCTCCACACTAGCATTATAGCAACTGTTACCATAAAAAGGGGAGAGCATTTAACTACCATTTTCTCTTTAAATTTATTCACTGTTACTTTATTTATACTTCCAGTTCAGGATCTCATTGCAATATACAATTATTATGATATTGGAATTATTCATTTTAATATTTATGGAGTGCTTGTTATATTCAAGGGGTTATGTTAATCTTTTAAATTTTTTTTTAAATTGAGCAGAGTTAGGAATGGATATCTATTTATCTAAAATTTTATATTTAGAAGTTGACATTTTAATTTAAATACCAAGGATATCATGAAAAAAAGTCACACTGGAAAAAGGAGAATGCAACAAATTTTATGTGTTTGCTACTTGCTATTGGCTGATGTAAAGAGTTTAATTCATTATTGTTGAATGTATTATTTAATGGCATTAGAACTACTCAAAATATCTTTATTCTCTTGTTTCAACAAAAAATGGCAATATATTTTGGTATATGAGACCTAGTATACAAGTTTCAAATTCGATTAAATATATCAAGTTTACACAAAGCCAAATGTATGAAAGGGGATCTTTTAAAAAAAACTTTATTTGAGAAAGGAAGAGACTTATAACAGAAGGCAAGAAGGGAAACATACAAACAATATATTTACAACACAAAACAAGAGATCACCTTCAAGGGTGTAAATTATAATAAATACAGTAGATTTTAAAAGAGACATTTATCAATTAGATGTAAGATTATTTAAGTCCAGCTTTGCTTTCACTGGTTCCAGGTAGTTTCTTGATTAAATTCATAAACTATCATATTCAAACAATTAATGTCCACCAACTGTACTGATGAAGCTCTCTCAAATGACATTATAAAAAATAGGTTTTTTTTGTTTGTGATTACATATCTTTGAAGGAATATTATACAAAAGTCTGCTCAGCCACATGTTCCTCCCCAAATAAAATGTATTTTAAAAGATGCACTATCCCTTTTTTATGAGATTGAAAAAAGACTTTGAAGAAAATGAATATTTATGAGATGGAAAAATATACAATTTTATCTTAGGCATGCCATATTTTTATAATGCAAAACAACTGACAAAAAGTCATTTTAATATGAAGAAATATACTAACCAAAATATGTTGGTGACAGGGAGTGTTGCCTATTATAGCTATTTGTCAAATTATCAGAAGGACGTTCATTATATGGAAAAGTTTTAAACTTTCTAACTTCTAGTTATGCTAATTTAATTTGAATGGAGGCTTTTTTAAAAAAGGATAATGTATCTTTAGCAGTAACATTTTTAAAGAAATATTTTTAAATGTCACAGCAAAATGTAAACAATACGTGCCAATAACATACAGTTGAACAATGTCTACATTTGGCAAAACTGCTATATCGCCTTTGAAATAGGATACTACACCTTAAAGTACCTTGAATTTAGAAATATAAATATTTTAATAGAAAAAACCTCACAAAGATTCTAGGTCAATTTGGATTATCCATATTAAAGGGGTCTTAATACAAACGAACCTTTAACCAGCTTAACAAAAGTAAACCTATAAAACAAGGTAAACATATCAAAAGGGAATATGAAGGAAATGTTTCAGTGAAAAGCTTCCGTAACAATTTCCCTACTTGTGGTGTTATTTTCTTAGACAATAAATCAATTCATAGAGTGCCCTTTAAAAACAGAAAGAGTAAAACACTATCCTCAGATTTTTTTTTCCTACATTCCTTAGTACATGAATCACTTGGACTTCCTGTTTCCACAAGGCATTTCCTGTTCAGCCTCACAGAATCACTTTTCTGTAGGAGAACAGCAGGAACCTGACAAAGAACTGACTTAAATAAACATTGTCTTCTGCTGCTTTCAAAGATGTTTGTATTTTATAGCATCAAAGGACATAATCCTTCTGAAGGTGTATTATGTACAAGTAAAATCTTTTATTAAACCCAACTTTCTTAATTTTTTTTGCCAAATGACATGGCATATTCCATGCCATTACGGAATTACATGTAAGAAATTCTAATTATAATGATTATAAAATATGACACATCTTTTAAAACTGATTTTGACTTGATGTCAAGTGATAATCATATGTTACTGTGTTTTCTACAATTGTAGATACTATATAGTATCTGATTGGACTGCAATTCTGCAAATTACTTCTCACCAACATTTGCATCTGCATTATTTGATCTTTTTCAATAGACAATGTCATCATATTACACAAGGTAAAAGTAAAATCCGCAGTGCCATGTGAAACATAACATGATATTTAAAACAGTACTCCAATTTGCATCTCTACATTTAAACCACCTGTATTCCTAACATTTTCAATCGCAATGTACACAATAACCTAGGACTACTGGCATGATGACCAGAACATCTCTACTTAACAAAAAAGAGAGAGGAAAGAAGGGGCAGACTACCTTTAACAGTGTTCAAGACTGTAGTATGATACATTATGTACAGTGATGTGAAAATTGAATTCTACATGTTCAAAAAATCAAAAATTAATAGAATGTTTCATTGATCAGACTGGGAGACTATATCAAGCAGTCACTGATCTCAACAGATAAACTAAAAATAATAGTGAGTTTGTTTTCCTTAGAAGTAACCGGTACAACAGATCTTGGGATGGATTTAAAGCCTATTAATTACTTGGACATCATGTAGCATAATTTTAGTGTAACAGGTATTTTTGTTACCAGTGGAGTTTCAACGAAACTTCTCTATCCATTTAGAGATCACCATAGACAGATCTCTGTATAGACATACACTTTTACCTGTTTATGTTAAAATCCTCAGACACTAAAATCAATCATCCAGACATACAAACCAATAGGAAATTTACCAAAACCTGCAGTGCACTTTATGTTCAGATAATGACTTTAATTACAAATCCTGGAGCTAAATCTTTGCCTATTACCTGTTGCATAAAAGCAGCCTGCTCCCCAGATTCCATTTCCTGGATCTGAGCATCTTCATCACTGTCCACTGGTTCCTCCTTGACTTTCACAGCCCCAACTTGTCCCACTGTGTCATCCACACAAGCACTGCTGTCGCTCCTAGTGCTGTTGTCACTAGAGGGCGCTCTGTCTTCCTGCATCGCCTGGTCCCCCTGAAGCTCTTCCTCTGCTTCCTCAAGGTGCCTGCCAGGTTGCTTCAGTTGTTCAATAGATTTCGAAAGCAGCTAGAAGAGAGTGTTCAGGAGTTCAAAAGTCAATAGTTCTCGATGGCAACAGGAAAGAACACTATACTTTGATTTCTAGTAAGTCTTACTTCAGTACACTGATTTCTAATTAGTGTCCATCAATTTCTGAATGAAACTTGTATGCAACAAGCTTTGTAAGTAGCCTGAAAGCAGTCCCATCGTTTCCGTTTTATATTTGTGAGACCAGCAGGGAATGAATCTCTAAGCTTTTGTTTTTCCAGTGTATTATAATCTAAAGCACTTAGAAAATTATGGGAAAGGTGGATGAAAGGGTAACTGAGTCCATGGAAACCATGAAACTCTCCCAAGGACACGTTTTCGTGAATCAATTCAATACAAACTTGGGAATAATATTTTCCCAAAAAAGGAAACAGGGTAAAGTGAAACTTCCTTCCATCTCATTTTTCAGCAAATGTTAACTGCTATAAAAGCCTAAAACATAAGTGCTAATAGTCTTTCATGTCTTTATTTTCCAGTACTCATATGGTCAAATTTCAGTCAAATGATAAAATACCTTTATGCTTATACTTGCAAACCACAGAAATATTCATTTTGAAATTCTGACCTTCAAAAGGTACATGAGTGTAAAAACTTTTGACAACCCTAAAATTTTTATGAATGGATCCTAATGAAATTTTAAAAAGAGGAAAGAAATAAGGAATTGTCTTTCAACCTGAAAATTATTAAATATTTTACTTTATACACTAAATTATATTTTATTTTCAGAAACATACAGATTAACTGTTTAATGATTTTAAAGACAACTATTTAACATACCTGACTTAAACAATAAAAATGCCATATCATAAAAGTTCAATAAATGGGAAAAGGTGTAAATTAACTTTATTTCACACAAGCCTTTTTTAAAAGCCCCAAATTGTCCTTCTGACTGATCATCTGTAGATGAACTATGTTTTCAAGGGAGGTTAGAGTTTTCTGCTAAGTCAATGCTTATGTAAGCAATATCTCAATTACTGTAGCTAGAAGCACATTTAGAATATCACCACTAAAATCATGAATACAGATTTTTCTATGTAACATTTAAGTTTACCTCCTACTCCACAGTTAGGTTTTAAAAACTAAACATATGTTTTAAAGTTTGAAAATATAAGTACTCAAACTTTGAAGGCCAACTCTCTTAGGTTTATGGGCTTCCTCTGGTCCACACAAAATCTCAACCGGTCCTGAACATACCAACAGACAACTTTAATTTCCCTGTGAGTACTTTGGGAGTTTTCATTCATTTGTTCAACAATTACCTAGTGAGTGCCAAATATGTCCAAATACCATGCTAGGCAATGGGGAAATGGCCACTGCTCTGCCTCCATGCAGCTTAGAGTTCAGAGTGTTAGAAAGGCATCAAGCAGACAAACTTAACTTCATTTTTTATTTTGTTTTGTCTCTCTATGTAGCTCAGGCTGGCCTTGAACTCACTATGTAACCCAAACTGGCCTCAAACACATGGTGACCCTCGGGTCTCAGCCTCCCAAGTGCTGGGGTTATAGGCGTGTGCTTCCACACCTTTAAAGAGGGAAACACAGGAAGTTAAAGAGCACTTCCTGGCTGGAGTAGTGGAGATAGACATGATTAAGGAAGTTCTGCTGAGGAAGGGTGTTTAGGTTGGGTCATGAAGATGAAGGACAAAAAGGAGGTTGCTAGATGTGGAGAAGGCAAGAGAGGCAGGGTGGAAATATGGTGGAGCATCTTTGGCAGAAGGCAAAGTGTGTTAGGATCTTGGGATGGACAAGGAGCCCAGTGCATTTGTGCAATTTGAAGGTAGGTGGTGTTTGAGGACTGGAAGAAAATACTGAGCACTTGATGTTGGAAAGGGTGATACAGTTTATATTATTATTTGCGGGGAGAGTAAGAATCTGCAGAAATAAAATGTAATTTAGGATAAATCATACATGAGACCTAAATATCTCCAAACTGAAGTCAAACATGATCAGGCTAAGACAACAGAAACTAATTAAAACTCGTATCAAAATAAAGACAACACATTTCAGTGTTAATTTCCTTTGTGCCAACAACCTAACTCCTATTGCTCCTAGGCAGTCAGCATAAGGATACCATCTCTCTCTCTCTCTCTCTCTCTCTCTCTCTCTCATGCTTCTGATGTTGTGAAGCACATTTTAAGAAACTGTTTTCATACCTTTGTCTCAATTCTTAACACTAATCTGCAATTTCATGCCTTAAATACCTAATAGTTTGCTCACCACTGTGCTGGAGAAACAAGACAATGTCATGGTCCTGAATTTTGACTACACAATTGTAAGGATCCATGTAATTGTCACTGAGAGGAAGACCATGGAAGATTACAGAAAATAAGCAAGATTTTTAAGAAGTCCTAGCTTCTGCTGGAACACCAGGAACTTAGCAACAAATACGCACTCATCCTTCACAGAGAGAGAGGCCATCCATTAGGCCCGCAAGCCTTACCTCCACCACTTTCTCGGTCTACACATAAGACTGGCTTGGAGGATTTTGTGGGGGAGAAGGGATTTATGTGAGGAAAAGTTAGAGGAAGCTGAAACTTCCCAGAGAAACTATCTCGGGTGACTACAATTCATCTGGCCAGATGCTTGCTGAGCCGTGGCTCGCTTTTGCCCCTGTAGCTTAGCTGAAAAGGTTACTGTGTGCCTGCTCATCAGAGCTGGTGGGCCAGCACTACCTGAGAGTCAAGCAGACCCTCAGAAAGATTTGAAATGATCCTGCCGATAAAAGCCTCTTGAGGAGAGCAGAAAAAACTTATGAGGTGTGTGACCATGCGACAGGAACGAGGACCACTCAGAAACTCAGGGAAGGCTAGCCAGAGAGCACACAGCCAGTGCCCATGACATGCTGTGTCAGAAGTCCCTGCATACTGGACAATGACTAAATCTCAGCCAGCTTCTGGATGTTTGACATTACAGGAAGCATTCAGTAGCCAAGAGGAAACTACACACCACTGCAAAGTTAAAAGGCTTTTTCTTGCTGTTACTCTTCTTCCTCTTCCTGGTTCCAACATGGCCTCACAGTCCTGGACCTCCTGACCACCAATGGTCTTGTCTTCTGCTCTTTGTCAGCCCCCAACAGCATGATTTTAGAGCGCGCCTGAACTTTATTAGTAACTGTACACTCTGCTAAATCTCTATTTCAAACACCACTCTTTTGTTCTGGTTTATTCTCAGGATTTTTGGTCCCAGCTATTCCTCAACAATATGGCATCCTCCAAGTCACAGTCTGACTTCTCACTGCTCCTTGCTAGATGAGGCTCCACTTACAATAACCTCAGCTCCCTCACCCTCCTTGATAGGGATTTCACTGGACAAGTAGGACTCAGGATTTCTAATCTCAATCAAGCCCAAGCAGCAGAATGAGCTAGGACATGCTAGGATTATAATCATGTTATTTCTCTTTAAATTCATACCCTCTGATGGCCCTCCAGGCTACTGCCAACCCTGCTCTGGTTCTGTAGTTCATTCACTCTCACTCATTCAATTGTGTTTCATATTGTTCTCTCTCTTCTCAAACTTTGAGATCCTAATCTTTTACTCATCCCCTGACAATACCTTGGCTTCTTATTTCACTGAGAAAATAAAAGCATCAGAAGAGAAACTCAGCATCCTGCCATCACCATACTTACCAAGCGGTGCTAATGCAACTTTCCTGCTGTTACAATGGAGGAAAACTGCACTCTTTTCTCAAAATTTCCACCTATACCATGGGTACTAGCTGCTTCTAGTCATTCTCTCTGTCCCGCATCATGTGCTCCCCTCTTCTGGTGAATCTTCATTGGAACATTACCTTTCTTAAAGAAAAAACTTCCTAAAGGAAGTTAAAACCCCTCTTTCCCTACTACATTCCTTCATGATAAAGCTCCTTGAGTTATCTCTTTTCATTGTCCATGTCTTTTTTCATTATCTTTAGGATCTATGCCAACTAGATTTTAATCCATACCATTGGACCAAATGCTCTCTTGTCAAAGTCAAGAATGACTGCACAGATGAAAAATCCTGTGGCCATTTACATAAGATATTAATAAGTATCCATGGAGGTAAGGCAAGGGGAACAAGAATCAGTATTTTGGAAAGTAAGAAACCCATTTCACTGGTGCAGTCAAAGACCAGACGAATGCAAATTTGCTATAATTTACTCCATCAGTGGTAAGTAAGTCAAAGAAAATCACAGAGACAAAATCCTGAGTGTTCACCCTGAATATATATGTACATTTTAGCAGAAATTTTCGGAAATCTCATCTGTTAATATATTTCTAAGGTCAATGAAGCATATAGAAACCACCTCACTTAGTCCGTGAATCAAATTTGGCCAGTGTTTCCCTCCTCACTGACGGAGACATGTACATGTCATTGTGACACACATGACATTGACAATTTTCATTGTACAATACAGAAACAATTCAACTTGTTCCAGTTACTTGTTTTGGCTTTATGTCCCCTTCTGATGTACCAAAGGAAACCGGAGAGGGAAAAAGCCAGAATGAATAATGCTGTGATCGCCTGGTAATAAAGTCAAATGGCAGAATAATCTTTTGCCAAGAGCAGAATTCCTTAATGATTTGTAAAGGAAATGTTTCTTGACATAAAAAAAGCAATTTATAAGTGGAAATCATATAGATATGAATTGCTGGGGTTGATGTCTAATAACATTCTTAAAACACTTTTTTTTAATAAAGAAGGAATCTCATGTCCAAGAGAAGCCAATTCATATTCAAGACTGCAAAATACCAAAATACAATGATTTTTATAAAAGAGGAGAAACTAGGGCCAGAAATTTAGCTCAGTGGTGCTGCCACCTGCCTCACAAGCATAAGGTCCCGAGTTCAATCCCTGGTACCAAAAAATATAAATAAAAGCAGAAACTAGAATTTTTATATCCTTCCACTTTGCATTCTCTACTGAAATAGCTATATTATATCTGAATTAAAATAAACAGTTTTAATCTCTCCCTGAGCTCTAAACTTGCCTATTTAGCTGCTTGTTAAATGCTTTCCTGCAAAACATCTAAAAGGTGTCATATGTCATAAATTTAAGAAACTCAAAGATAATCTTTATTCCTATCCCACCCAAATGTATTCATCACGTACTCTTTCTCATTAAACAGCATCACCCAATTGCATGAGCCAATAATCTAGGCCAGTGGTGGCAAATCCATGGCATATGTGCTGTAATGGGCTTACTGATAGCTCTAAAAGGTTTGCCATCACTGACTAGGCTCTCTGCTTGTTTCTTTCTCATTTTTCTCCTCCACCTATCAGCAGAACTCTTTGTAATCCAATTTCCAAAGAACAGCCTGTATCTGGACACAGTTGTCCATTTTCATTGCTACCACTGTAGTCCTAATTACCATCATTTTCTCCTTCAATCACCAAAATGACTAACTTCTTGGGCTCAATTCTTGCCCTTCTAGACTACAACAGCTCAACAATTTGTTCTCTTACTGTAGCTCTAACACTTTTTTTCAAAATGTAAAGAGGCATCACCAGTTCTTTACAAACAAACTTCCAGTGGCTTCCCATTATGTTGTAATAAAAATGTGAATCTCATGCTTACAATAAAATCCAAATCTTAACAAATTACACAAATGTATGACCAGTCCCACCTCATAGTATTGTGTCTTCTCATTCACACATTCCAGTTACATTGGCCTCTGCCTGTCCTGTGAATATGAACAGGCCAGCCTGATTCTCCCACAGGGCCTTAGTTCATGCTGTGCTCTCTTTACTACTACCACTACTACTACTACTACTACTACTACTACTACTACTACACACTGCTACCACTTTTTCCCAGTGCTGGGGATTGAACCCAGGGTCTTCACAATGAGCTACACTCTTAGCTCCCGCTCCTTGTTTAAGGCAGGTTCTCACTAAGCCAGACTGACCTTGAACTTGCAATCCTTCTGCCTCAGCCTCCTGAGTAAGTGTTACCACCATGCCTGCATTCTTTGTACATGTCTAATTGGCTCCTTATCAGACTTTACCTTTATAAATATCTCATTCATGTATTTTCTTTATTGTCCTTAGTACTGTCTAGCATTATGTATTTATGGTTATCTCCCTCATTATAAATTTCACGAAGGCACAAGCTTAGTATTTTTTATGTCTAATACTTTGCATGGCCTCTAGCTGGAGCTTTGTAAGTATATGAAAACCTAATGCTTAGTAATAAAGCTTTTGCATACTTTTTTTTTTTTGGTACTAGGGATTGAACCCAGGGCCTTTGCACTGAGCTACATCTCCAATCCTTACCCCCCTTCTTGTTAAGTTGCCCAGTCTGGGTTTGAAGCTTTTGTACTTTTCCTGTTAGTTTAGGAAGCAAACTCAATATCTACATAGCCAATAACTATCCCTTTTTAAAAAATCTTTTTTGGAATATAAGGCGCTCTTTTGAAGATTCACAAAATATCAAAGAGATAAATAAATAGAATGTCCTATTAGGTTGGCCAATTTTGCAAAATATAAAAGCACAGAGGGAGTTAGCCCACATTTCTTATTTTAGGTATGTGACTAAAGCTGTTTTTGTTTAAACACTCAAATTTGCTAAAGTGGAAAAATTAGCAATTAACATCAGCAAGGAAAATCTACAAACAAAGGTGCAGAAAAATTCTGTCTGCCAAGTTTGACTTCAGATTGTGAAAATGAAAAGTTACTTAGTGCTATTGGTAAGTATTCAGATTATGTTGTTTTCTATACATTTTTGCACTACAAATATGGCCATTACGAAGATGGCATGGCTAACCCTTTTCTCATTTGCACTGGGGTTGAGTGGCCCCAGATGCAGCAAGGAGATGTCTGCTTACTCTCAGTGGGGTAGCAAGGTCTCTCTTTGGTTGGACATCTGGAGGTGATCCTCCAGCAAAGTTGAGCTGTTGCCTTGCTGGCTAGAAAACAGAAGACAAAATGTCTGTGTGATAGATAAAATGTGCAAGCCTGTGTGAATCTTTGCTGAGGCCCTGTCTGTAAAACAAACCATGTGCCATTCGTCTGACACCAGGTGAGCTACAATGGTGGGGACCCCAGCTGAGACAAAGACAGAGGCTGCACAACTTCTCCTTTCCCTTTTACCTGTGCTCTTACTCATCTGTCAGTGTCTCTATTCCTGACACTACAGGACAGCAATCATGCTTGGACACTAAGAATCTACAGGCAGCCTAGGACTATTATGGGACAGGGCACTGCTCACTAATACACATCCACTTAGCTATGCTGTTTGCCAGACAATATGGTAAGTGATCCAAATTTCTAAGACCACCAAGTATTACAGCTAAACTCTTTTAATTCTTATCTATGCCTGTTAGGGGTTGAGTAAATCCATATTTTCGGTGTTTTACATTCTCTGATAAATATATATTCTGTTGGCAAATGGTGCAATATTCACTAAGCATTGTTAAGAGGCTGTTTGCTCAATCTTTACATACTAGGACATTTAAGTTCATCTCTTTGAAAGTTACATTAATACAAGTCTAAAGTCAATATACACCTAAGTGCTTTTAAATATATCTTCATATTCCTATAATTTAAAATTTTTCCACAGAAATCCTTAATGTCTCCACAAATATCTTCAGATATATTAAGAACCCAACAAGATAAAGTAAATCTGTTTCTGATAGATGTTTGATCTTCTAATACTGTCAACAAACCACTAAGCAAGGTGTGAGAATGTGAGAATTTAACTATGTAAAAGGACCTTTAACATAACACATCACTTCATTTTGCCTCAAGTTTGAGGAGCGATTTTATTTGAGCAATGGCAATTAGCACAAGTTTGCTTTTTCCTTTCAAATAAATGGAATATTCTTCTTTGGAATATAAAATCTTTCCTTGAAGCTCCAAGGAAACAAGATTTAAAAATAATGATAAAATTCTGTCACAATGCACAAATAGATTAGGTATGTACCAATTGTTCTCAAAACAACACAGAACTTGGAGGGCTTTCAAATGAAGAGGTCTACTTAGAGAAGAACTCTAGACTCAAGCCAAAATACTCCACGTCATTTACTTCTGTGTATTCCAAGGAAATAATCAGAGGAAACAAAATTAAATAACAGAAGAAAGATTTTCAAATATTTGTTTGTTATTTACATAATTAAAAGTCTAAACTAACAAACATCCTTTCTTACCAATATTGAAGAGGTATGGAATTAATCACAAGACCAAGTGATTTTCTTTTTTGGGATACTAGGAATTGAATCTAGGGTCTCACACATGCTAGGCATGCACTCTACCACTGAGCTACGATCCAACCCCTGAACCCCTTTAAATTTTGAGACAACTTTTGGGTAAGTTGCCCAGGCTGACCATGAATCTACAGTCCTCCAGCCTGAGCCTCCCATGTAGTTGGGATTACAGGCATGTAATCCCACACCTGGCCCAAGTGAATTTTTAATAAATGCTTTCTTATATTTTTAACTCTAAATAGCTGTCCAAAATAATGCCTATATTTAAAATATATCTGGGGCTCTAAAAACTTCCTAATATTTTAATAACTTTAAAAAGAGTTTCCACTTGGAAAGGAGACTCAAAATTTTCTTCACAATGCAAAAAAGGTTATCCACCCACTATTTTATTCATTCAAAAACATTTTGAGATATACTCAAGGCCCTGGCAAAGGAATGATCCATCAAGCAAGATGCCAGCACTGAATGCTGGAGACAGAAAAAAAGCTTTAAAAAAGAGTGAAACCTGCTGTGCGTCAGGAAATGATGGGTAAGAGGTGAGGAGTAGTGTCCATTTTAGTTTGGATATGCCATGAAGGCCCCTCTGAAGAGGGAAGGTTTGAGCTGGAACAGAATCCAATAATGGGATCAAATCCCAAGAACAGTTGGAGGTTACGTTCTATACAGAACTGTGATAATTAATACTAATTACACAGGAAAAAGGGAGCCCACTGTGCCCAGATCAGTTTTTCAGAGAATTCCAAAAATCCAGATATTTATTTGGAATTTTTCTATTTTGAAAGACTTGCCAATAATTTGAAAGCTTTTTAAAGGCACCAGGCAGGTCAAAGACAGCAGCCCCATGGAATGAGTCCAGTTTGTAGACTGCTGGCTTACAACCTTTGAAAATAATCCCGTAGGTGCCTTCTTCCTTGAACATTCTATGGTTTAAAACATTTAGAGGTGATATCTGTGTGCTCAAAATGCACCATCCTCTATACTTGTGATTTTTTTATGCTCCTTTGATTCAAAAAGTCGCACTTTGCCAGAAATTGGGGATAGGGTTGAAACTGACTGCAAAGAAGCAGCAGAAGGGATTCAGGGACTTGATGCAATGTTCTGTATCTCAGTTGTGGTCACTATATGATCATATGTATTTGTCAAAACTCATTGAACTGTGTAGCAAAAAGAACACATTTTACTGCTTAGAAATTATACTTCAATAAAAAAATCTAATCACTAACTATAATGCTGTTCCAAAGAGAAAACATAGTTGGCTTCTTGGTGAATACAGAGACACATGAGAGAACTGGAACAAAATTTGGTGGTTTGGTTTACAACAAAGTAACCTGATGCAATTCTGAGGCAAGAGGGAAATATGTGCCTTGGAAATATTCTAGTACTTCCAGACAGCCATTTTTATTAACAAAATAAGGAAAATAGAACTAATGCTATATAAGAACATAAATACTGTGATTTCCATAGTGCTTACCATATTTGTAAAGCCACTTTCACATATATACTCTAGTGTAGTCCTCACTATGAGCCTCTAACATTTGCTGATTACAGAAATACCTTAGCCAAAGCTGCTAATTGTGTGAGACCTCAGAAACTATTATTGGAAAATCTACCAAGTATTCTAGATTTTGCAGGTCATACAGGTTATGCATTCAATACAGCCATCATTGATTATACTTATCTGTTTGAAAGCCTATCAGACACTCAAGAGAAAGAACATGCCTTTCTAATTTTTCATTTGCAATATACAGCATAATAGTTGTTAACAGATAAATCTCTGTAAAAGGCAACCAATTGCTCTCTGGCAGGAAATTATTTGTACGAGTAAGTTTTTAATTGCTATTTGATAAAATTATGTTACTAGTATGGGAGTAAAAGTACTTTAGGAGATAGGTTAGTAGTTTATAACTCTGGATGCAATTTTTAATGAAGAAATAGGAACAGTTTAGACCAGATGATGATTCTAGGTCACCATAACCCCTTATATTTCATAAGCATTTAGAGAAACAGCTGAAATATACAGAAAAACTAAAATCAGGAACTTACAAGCTATGAAAAGATTTAACAAAGAGACTTTACCCATTGGTGGTTTTCATGTCCATAGATCACTTAACAGTATTAAAAATTCCTCAGTGAGATTTAATTATTTCATTCTGTCAAGTGAAACTACTTGTCAAGGTTGGGAAACAACTAAATTATTTAGCTTCCTTCTTCCTTTGAACTGTCTGGAACCTACATCAAACTACTGATACGCTTTCCTTCCCCACATATTTTTCTTTCCCCTATTTTTTTCCCTCCTAGTCACATCCAACCATTGTTTTTCTCATTCAATAAAAGTGTCCATGACTAGAACAACAGTGCAGAGTGAAAAAGAAAAATTGAGGTTCTTCCCCTTGGTCCTCAAGTTATGGAAGCAGCACTGGGAATGTTTATGAATGCTACACATTAATCCACTGAAATAAATGGTCATTTAGTTTCTTTTATAAACACAGGGTTTCATCACATCTAATAATAAAACAACAAGCCATTTTCTGTATATTATAAACCATCAACTTGTAATTATATAGTGAAATGCTTCTATATAAATTCTCTGTGATGATGTAAGCTGGTACTGCAGCGTAAGTGAATTTTTAAAAGACCACTCCATACTTACAAGGATCTATTTACATTGGGCTAATCATGTCAAAATAGCACCTATTTAAGGGTACAGTCAAAGTTTCTTTTATAAACCTTTATAGATAGATAAATAATCTAGAAGGCTTTTTACTTTTATAAAACTAAGACTGGCTTTCAATGCTTGCTAAAGGTTTTGAACATGCTATCCGTCTAATGGGCAAAATGTAATCCTAAATTGGTGATTAAAAGACTCTGCATGGAAACAAGCTGTCAAATGGATAGAGAGAAATTAATCCTGACAACAGTAATGCCTACCTTCCTTAATGAAAGCCCTGTTCAAGTTTCTACTCATCCATTTCCCAAAACTTAAAACAAGGGATTTTCCAACCACCCATAGATGGGATGCTAACATTTGCATTTCAGCTAAACCTAATGAAGTCAGCAAATTTCCAGCTTCAAGCTTGCTCAGAACTCTTGTGATATGTTTGTCCAATCTGGAAAAAAAAGGGAGTAATGTGCCAACATGCGAGAAGGGAACAAAACATAGCCCGGCCACACTGTATGCACAGTGCACCTTTCAGAAAGCTTTACATTCCAAGAGATCTGAGTGTCCCATGGCCAAGTCCTCATGAAAAGACTGCCACGTGAGTAACTGGAAGGATGGTGATGCATGGAGATCTGGGAGGCAGGGTAGGAAAAAGGGATTTCTTCATCCTGGCAATTCTAACACAATACAAAATAACAATAAAGTAATAATAGGATCTTCCTTATTATTCATTTGCTTTGCTTTAAGTTGTGAGTTCTATACTTCTGAGCTGAAATAAATTAGGAAAAGCTTATGTATCTCTGCTTAGTGATTAAAAACATGACTGCATAATAAGCACACGCAGTTAAGAAAAGACTGTGTCCTACAACTTATGTGGCAATTTCAGCTCTGATAACTAGTAGCCCTGTTACTTGCTCAACTTAGATAAGCCTTATAAAATTAACATTCCTGAAATTTAAAAATGAGTTATTAAGACTTAAAGGATATACAAGGGAAATGGTATGGAAAATTCAGCTCATAGTAGACCCTACATATAGAAAGGATC